AATAGAGTTATATGAATATCCTGGGGTTTTTTTGGGGGGGGGGGTTGGATTTTTTTTTTGGTTGGTTTTTCCATGGCCTTACTATGGCCAAAAGACTGATATTGCAGCACTGGAATGATAAATGTATGGCCCCCTTCACTCAATGGCTTGAAGACCTGATTACATTGCCACTTATGAGCGGATTCCCTATAGAGGCAGACTTTGTATGGACAAGTATAATGAAATATGGGACTCATTTATACAAAATGCAGCGGGTTAAAAAACAATCCTTATTTATTAGTTTTCCTCTTTCATAGCTGATGATAATAGTGACAATGAAACCCTGCAACTTCACATTTGCGGAGCTTCAGACTGTGGAAGTTGAAAATCCAACGTATTTACAAGGCGCCTGGCCTCTGCACCAACTAACAGGGTCATAATTTATTAAAAGGATTCGAGTATAGAGCCAGACAGAAAACAAAATAATACCCAAGCCATAAACATGGAAGATATAAACCAGGGAATCAAGACAGAATGTAGCCGGAAGTCTAACAATACTTCAAGGTCAAGGTGAAAAGCCTGCCATGTCATAGCTGTAGGAATTGCTAGGAGGTATTGCAGCTGCTTCTAAAAATGTTCTCTCCAGAGCAGCACCAGCCTGGTCTCTGTTGAAACATGTGAGTCAGCAGCAGGCAGCTTTGTATGGAAAAAGATGGTCCTTACAATACTGACACCCCCATCCCAGACCCACCCATCAAAAGCTTTAAACAACAAGCACTTTGAACTGGGCTCAGCCAGCTGGCCAGAAATCTGCAGCTGAGCTTCTGTGGTGGAGAGGGAAGCATCATTGCATCCGTTACCTACATTGTGTGGAGCAGCCGAAGATCACCAGATATTGAGGGGCTGCTGGTAATGCTGTCTTGGGTTGCGTTGCTCGGCCCCGGCACGGACAGGCGGCCCCTGCGTCCAGACTGCATGGCCTGGGAGGTGCAGGTCTTCCAGGGGGAGGGCAAGAGAGGAAGTTAGAAATTTGGGTGGGTTTTTACATTCCTCTCTTCTGAATTGCTTCCCAACATTCTAGGGGAGATTAAAAAGTTCAGCCTTAGAGTACACACGTTGCATGCAGGAGCCCTCTGAGTCGCCTTTCAAATCACAGATCCTCCTGAGAACCTGCAACGCCACTACATTTAGTATAAAATACTGAGTTAGATGGGCAAATGTCTAATGTGGCACCAAACAGCTATCACTGTTCTTTATATTCCCTGTCCCTCCAAGCGACTTGATCCGAATCCCTTTTCCCCCATGCATGTCTAATTCCACCCCAACCACTTGCTAGCTATGCAAAGTTCCTTCCGCCCCACCATCCTCATGTCCCACATTCCCAGCTGCCTCAAAGCCTCCTGTCTCTCATCCCTGCACCAGCCTTTCTCTCTCTTCCTCTCTCTCTGGTTCTACTCCAGCTCCTAGCAACCAATGAAGGAGAAGGAAGAACCTGGTTACTATGACAGCTGCAAAAGGAGGCTGAAGGCTCTCAAAGACAGGAGCTCAAGGTCTCAGCAGCTGGACCCACAGCCTGCTTTCTTCTCTTTCCTCTGTGACAGCTATCCCACATCAAGAGATCTGAGTAAGAACATGGGCACCCTAGACTGCATTCATCACCTTTGAGATAACTTGCTTGATCCAGATTTGCCACCTTTCTTTCCGCAATTTGAAGAAACACACTCTGGGGTTGATTTAAGTCATGACTCTCCAAAGCTCTTAAGGCTCAAATGATTCTGCAAATTAGAACCAAATCAGATTTTGGTAGAATGGGCCCATCTTTTCAGGTGTAGCCTGCCACAGCAGTGTTCATGTTAACCCAGTGGTGGGCAACCTTTTGATGACTGAAGGCCATGTATTTACATTTTTCAGGTGGGCTGTAGGCCACAGTGGGCAAGACAGCCATTACGTGTTTAGGGCTATGTCAATGAAGTGGGTAAAACTTATTTCTGTGGGGTTTTCCTCCTGAGTTTTGGAGAAAGTCTGGAGATTTTCTTTATTCTTTAAACCCATTAAACTTCTTTACATGGCTTATAGCATTTATTGATTGATTGATTGATTGATTGATTGTGCCTTCAAGTCAGCGTTGACTCTTGGCGACTGCCTGAACTAGTCCCTGCAGTTTTCTTGGCGAGATTTCAGAAGTGGTTTGCCATTGCCTTCTTCCCAGGGCTGAGAATGAGTGACTGGCTCAAGGTCACCCAGCTGGCTTTGTGCCTAAGGTGGGACTAGAATTCCCGGTCTCCCAGTTTCTAGCCTGATGGCTTAACCACTACACCAAGAGCTTCAATCTCTTCCATACTTCCTGAGAAGCCAAGCTGGTCCAGGCTGCCAGCTCTTACCACGTGGCAGATGTTAATCTGGGCAGAGGAGGAGAGATTTATTCTACAGATGTCACAGCCAGGAGGAGAGCAAAAAGGGCCTGGGTGGAGGAGGGGTCAGAAATGAGAGGAGAGATGATCCCTTTCTCCCTTTATAAATCAACCTCTTCCTAAGATCCTTTTTTTCCACTGCTGAAAAGATTGGGTACCAGGCAGATTCTGGCTGGGGACATGGCTACTGGACTGGGAACCACATCTCTCAGCACCATGCAGAACATCCTGGGACCGGCTTGCATCTTCTTGCGCAAGGGCATTGCTGAGAAGCAGGGGGTATGGGCCATCTAGTGGTGGCTGGGTCATGGGCATTGGTGGTATAGCCTTCCAGGGTAGGGGAAATGTGCTGGGCTGAACTTTTATTTTTTTTCAGTGAAAGAGCAATTAATCAAAAGTGGTCCAGGGCAGGATTGTAATATTCCCAGATCTCAGTCTCTGCCCTAGAGAATTTTGTTTTAATTTGAGATAGACAATAGAAATGGATCACAGGTCCAAACTCTGGGCAGAAAAACGTTGAAGTAGGACATGGGGGTGGGAGAGAGAGAATCCTGGGTTCTCTTCAAAAGAAATCTAGAGAAACATTCCCCAACCAGGTGATTTCAAAATGTACTGGGCTACAAGCCCCAACCAGTATGCCCAGAATGATGGATGTTGTAATTCAGCTGTACTGTAATTCAACAGCGGGAAGACAATAGGTAGGAGAAAGTTGACCTAGAGAGTTAGATTTTACAAATTGTTGTTAGAGAGAGGAAGGCAGTTGAAAAAGGCATTACTGCTCATGCTCTTATTTCCACTTTCACCTCTGGCAAATAGCACAGGTTTACAAACAGTGGCACTCGGTGTCTGTGACACTGAGATGACAGGAATATAAATATGCTCCATGTGAAGTGATGCCTATCTTGCAACTTCTGTTTGCCTTTCTAGTTGGAGGATTTGCCCCAGCTATTGAGCTTGAATACTAGCAAAGTTTACAAGAGAAAATATGAATCTTTTTGGCTTCTGTTGTGAGCAGCTTGGTCTAGGCTGTCTTCTCAGATGTTCTTCTTTATTTCCTAATCAAAGCATCCATTGTCTATCTCAACCTGTTCCAGAATCAATAGCTGGCAGGTATCTCAATTATCCTGAAGACTCACTCTCTACTGTACTTACTCATTGCATTGAGGAAGGATCTCTGAGGGATCCAGTGAATCAAAAAGCCCAGTGGTCTTAGCCTTTCCATCCCCAGATAGTTATTTGGGTTATAACCTGTTATTTTGGAATATTACTGATTTCTGGTCATTCAGTACAATAGTTTTTATTGGCCCAGGTTAAGAAAAGGCTTTGTTTAACACTCAAGTTGAATTGTTGTTGTTGGGCTCAGTTGGGTGGAGAGTTAAGTTTGGAACTATGGTGACTAGGTCCTTGATTTCTCCAGTCCCAGAAAAAGCAGCAGTTTTCTCTGAGTTTGGAATTGTGAGCCTCTGAGTTTCTTGTTTATATCCCTGTATTGCAGTGAATGTCTTTGCCACTTTTTTTACAGCAACGTGAACTGAGTGGAGATGAAATTGAAGGTAAGAGCAAACATCTGTTTGTACACATGTATGAATCTGAGCAGTATATTAAACTAGTGTTCCAAGATATTCTGAAGTCTTTTGGAATCTTAAGAAAGATAATTATAGTAATGGGACATCAATAGCAGATAATCTTCCCTGAAAAAGTTTGCCATCCCCTATCGGTGTTCCCCTGGAGACTGCTAGAAAAGAGAAACATCAATTGTGTGCTCACTGAATTCATAAAAAGGGATAGTGAGGAAACTGTCTTTCTTGACCTTCTATTTGTAGTCCAATTTATCAAAATAAACCCAGAATTGGCTTAATTGTTTTCTCAGTAAATGTAGCTTCTGTGGGAGGTCCCCAAGTAGGAAATTGACATAGAATGCATGAAGCAGAAGCTATTATTATTATTATTATTATTATTATTATTACTATTATTATTATTATTATTATTATTATTATTGAGACTCATGGGATAAGTTCATGTAACATGCTTGCTTGTTTATCAATCAAACAAACAATTAATTAATTGCATTTCTGTGCCATTCTCCAAAATGGCTCCAAGCTAACTGCTAAATCCAGGTTAACAAGGCTGATATGCCCAAGCAAGCAAATCATATTATGGCTTATGTGGTGACCTGGTTCACACAATACACTAAGGGCTGAGCTCCCACAACACACTGAAGCTTAAACTAGTCAAGCATGTTGTGGAAGCCCAGCCATGATTTCATTTGATTCTTCATCATCCTCATCATCCTCATCCTCATCCTCATCCAAAAACAGAGCTCCGTGAAGCCTTTCAGGAGTTTGACAAGGACAAAGATGGATATATCAGCTGCAAAGATTTGGGCAACCTCATGAGAACAATGGGGTATATGCCGACTGAGATGGAACTCATAGAGCTCTCTCAACAGATCAACATGAATCGTAAGTGCTTACTGGGAAGAGTGAGGGAAACCTAAATCCAAGACTCTCCAGATGTCTCTGGACTCCAACCCCTGTCAGTCCCAGTAATCACAGCCAATAGTGAGTGATGGGAAGTATACTCCAACAACAGTTGGAGATCTAGGGGTTCCCAGTTACTGACTTAACTTGGCGGTCAGTTGGCTATGAAGGGAAAGCTCCTAATTCTGAAGGAAGTTGGATCTTTCATTAAGGGGAGTTACTATAAACTTTTGGAAACCATGGTGTAAATTGATTAAGACTTAATAGTCTGGTTCAGATTTACTGGACAACCTTGGCCAGTGATTGCCTCTCAGGGACAAATTACACATGATGCTAAATATAAGTTGTTTAATTTTGATCTTTTTTTAAATGTGCAAAGATCAGCTACTGAAGGTGAGATGATTGCAGCAGAAAGGAGAGTTTCCCCTTTACTGCTGTACTACAATCCTAGTAAAAATCTTCTCTTCTGAAACAGCTATTTGCATTGGGAAGAAAGCTCCCTTTGTTTTGTTTCCAACCTAAAATAATGGCTAAAGGAAAACTTTGTATAAGGACCACAGAAGTCAAAAGGCTGATATTACTTCCTTCTCCCCTAGCCCTCCTCATTTTCAGGAAAGATAATGGGAAATGACAAGTATATTTCTTCTGAGCTCATTGCAGAAAAGTTGGGATTAGAACATCACATCATTTTTTTTAAAAAGTGTATTTATTCCTCCTTGTGATATAAATGATCTCATATGGGCTCCTACTCAGATATTTACCAAATCCAGAATTAAATTATTTAAATGATGCTTTGGGACTCACCCTGGTCAACAGGTAGGAAGTGGGAGGAGGTTCAGAATTGATCTGTTTCCTATTACTTTCTCCTCAATACTCAGCTCTAGATATTAATCAGGGAACTGAAGGGGAAGGCAAGTTATCTAGATAATCTTGGTTAGTTTGTTTTTAAGTCCACTTTAAGCAGTAAACTTCACTTGTCTCATTGCAGTTGGGGGACATGTAGCTTTTGAAGACTTTGTTGAATTGATGGCCCCAAAACTGCTGGCAGAAACAGCGGGCATGATTGGCCTTCAAGAGATGAGGGACGCCTTCAAGGAGGTAAAAAGAGATGGCAGGGCACAGGAGTTAGCACTTTGATCTGGAACGGAAAGGTGGATTAGATGGGCTCTTTTATGTTTATTCCCCAATTTCTCCATCTGAGCAAAACTCCATCCAGACCAGCATCTTCTATATGGAATTACCAGGATCCACAAACAAGATATAAGGACAATCTGCCCTTAACCACGGTTTCTGCCCAGTGTCTGGTTATCTGTAGGATGCTACCTCCTGTAGAGGGTAAAGAAAATGACCTTGACAGAGATAAACCAGATCCATTCCCTGAGAGACGAGGGGAGAAGTATGACTCAAACCCCAAAGAACCTGAGGGGAGGAGGAAATGGCTCAGACAGACTCCTCCTTAGTTCATAGGAGTATTTGGGGGGGGGGGGGAATAAAGCACAGTCAGACTTGCAAGATGCTGTTACTATAGCAAATATAATAAAATAATTTGAAACTTCCTTTGGAGTTACTTTTTTGGTCTGGTACACATAGTAGGGCTGACATCTCCTAGTGTGTTTATGTCTATAGATCATTGTTTCTCAACCTTGGCAACTTTAAGACATGTGGACTTCAACTCCCAGAATTCCCTAGCCAGCCATGCTGTAGATACTATAGACATGGACCCATGATATAGACTAAGGGTCAGGGCACATTTAAATACCCTCTGTAGATGCCTCTCTAACCACTCTTTAAAGACAGGTCTACATGAAGTACAGTAGTCTCCTTTTATTCCCAGACCATCACTGAGGCTAGTTAGCTGGTTATTTCTGATCCAGTGTGAAGGTAATGTCTTCCATGGGGATGACTGAGCTGATGACATAGAAGGGAGTAGGATATGTCCAGCTTGTGTTGGTTGCATTTGACTGGTGTGAGCAAGCCCCTACCCTCCAATCACTTGTGATGGATAGTGGTTGACAAGCCTGTATGTCATATTTACTCTCCTCTCCCAGATCGCCTGTAATGTGTGTTGGCAGGTGGGATGGTAAGTCACACAGGGTGGCAGCATTGACTGAAGTGAGAGGACTCTCTTCAACCATTTCAGCAGGTCCCAGACCCTCCATGTAGCTTGTCAGCAGGTTGTATGGGATATGGTGTCCATGTAAAGTAGGAGGAAAGAATCACTTCTGTTTCCTGCAACTCTTCTCCCAGGGTTTGATCCACAGAATGGAGTCATAGAGGCTGTCTTTGGTACAGGTGATGATATGATCACAAGTGGGAGCTATGCTGGCTGAAATGAGCCACTCTTTCAGCTCAGCCAGGGATGTCATTCATGATGTGTTGACAGCTGTGGTGGCACTGGCTTGAAGCAGGAGGATCTGTTGCAGCAGCCTCTAGTTATCTATCTAAATGTACCACCTTCCCCAGTCCCAACCAACATTAGACAGAGTGATTGTTAGACCTTTTTGTCCCATCAGCACAGGAATTGTCCAATCTCCACACATTCATTGCTCTGTAGTAAGCTGCCTTGTTAACAAGCACAAGTAGCAATTGGCTGGGTGTATCAAGCAAGTACTTTGTGCTGCCTCGTGGACTGGACAACAGCACATTCAATAGACTGTCTGGATAGATGTGATGCCCATGGTGCCCACAGATACTGACAGGCCTAACATCCTCTTTTCCTCAATAAAATTGCTTAGTCCTGTGTTCCCATTCAGAAGTCTGAAAGAGAATTCTGAGAGTTGCAGGTCCAACACATTTGGAAGAAACCAACTGGAGAAGGATGGTTTAGCCCCCTGGGAGCTACCTTGAAGGCTATATTCTTGTTGTAGTGAAATTAGATTTGCAAAATTTAAAAATTTCCCATTTAGTACAGGAAATGATCATGCTAGCTAGACGATGAGATTTGGAGTCCATACCTGGAGGATGCAAATGGTCTAAGAAAAAAGGCCTACTAGAATCTTGATAATTAAACCTGTAATGTCACCTATGGAGAGTTGAGGCTTCGAAATTAATGCTTTTCTAGCTAGTACAAAGGCACCTATTTCCAAGTGGTATCTCTATTTTCACATATTTATGAAAGCTATGTTCTTTCTAAATTGCACCAAAGGGTCCTGCTGTTAATATAAGATGGGAGATGATCACAGCCAGTCTCTGCACTGGCAGGGAGTGATTCCTGCAGTGGGGATCAAAGACTGGCCCCTTAATAGGTTCTGGGACCGAGAAATAGTCATTGCTCTCTCAGATGCCAATATTGGTCCACAGCTAGTCCTCCCTTTTGTTCTAGTATAGAAAAGGTGCATGGATAGTCCTAATTATTCTGGGTCTTCTTTCCAGTTTGACACAAATGGGGATGGCAAGATCACTTTGGATGAGCTTCATCAGACCATGCAACGGTTGATGAGTGAGAGGCTGACCCCTCGAGAGATTGCAGATGTGGTGAAGGAAGCTGACGTTAATGGAGACGGGACTGTGGATTTTGAAGGTGATATCTGGCAATATAAACTGATGGAGAGAGATTACAGGCTTAGGAAAATCAGGCTGAGAGATTAAAGCATTAAAGCTCTAGGGAGATAGGATTTAGAAGCACAGAGTGACAAGATACAGGCTTAAATGGGTTTGGATAATAGATTTAGAAAGTTATTACATTATTTCAGTTTCATGGAGATTGAAGCTTGACTGCAATTTCCCCCCATCCAGATGATATTCTTGAGGTTTGAAAGGCAAAGGTAAATATTAGAATAATATTTCCCACTAAGCTGTGTATTTTCCCTTTCTTTTGAAGAGTTTAATGTGTTCTACCTTTAAAATGTAAAAAACAGGTAGATACCGGTGGCACCTCAATTCATTATTTTCCCCATTCCTTTTGCACTATTATACTGATTTACATACCAAGAAGATATTTGTTGCAAGAGATAGAAAAAAAATCTTTTGAACTGACTGCTGAATGAGGGGGTGATATGAGCTGGAGATCATCAGTTTGGAAAGATTAGTCACTTCCAGCAGAAAATCAGAAGATACCATCTTAGGATGAAGACTCTACGTATGTGGCAGTTCCATAGTTGTATGACACGCACACAGGAAATTTGATCTGTACCTAATCAGGCAACACAATAAATTTAATTTACTGTTTTTAGAACAGCTTTCTAGTCCTTAACATCTGCAAAAAGAGACCCCCAATTGCTTTCTCTCCCCTGTTATCACATTCCTGTCAGTTAAGTTCAGATCAGGGACAGAAACCAGTCCAGGCCACTAAGCAAACTTCATGGATTTATTAATTTAATAATTAATATAACATTAAAACAGCCAGGGCTAGCACAAGCATGCTAACATTATCTCATGGTATTTCCCTTACAGAATTTGTCTGGATGATGTCACGCTGATGCAACCACCCACCTCCCCCTGCTTTCAAGGACTGAAAATACACACTGCACTTTAAAACAAACGTGTGTGGATCAATTATGTAGAGTCCGTAGTGTGTGGTGAAATTGCTGGACTAGGGGCTCTTCCTCACAGCCCATTAATGTGCATTCCTCCAGTCCTTGAGATGGCAAAAAAAAAAAAAAAAGTATGCTGGCATAATTTGCCCTACTCCAATAGTCAAATTCTAATCTGCTTCAGTAAGGAGGCTTGTGAAGATCCTGCCTTTACAGCTTAACTGGATGGGCAGCAATTAATTCAGTGTTGTCCAAACTTGGCCACTTTAAGATGAGTGGTCATCTTAACATGCTGGCTGGGGAATTCTGGGAGTTGAAGTCCACTCATCTTAAAGTGGCCAAGTTTGGACAACACTGTATTAATTGCTGCCCATCCAGTTAAGCTGTAAAGGCAGGATCTTCACAAGCCTCCTTACTGAAGCAGATTAGAATTTGACTATTGGAGTAGGGCAAATTATGCCAGAGTTGAAGTCCACTCATCTTAAAGTGGCCAAGTTTGGACAAAACTGAATTAGTGGACTCCCCTGACTTTGTTTCCCATCCCACCCAATGTCACAAGCCAGAGGAAAAAAACCCCACCAATTGCTCTCCTTCAAATCCAGAGAGGCAAAGTTAAGAGTGAGGGAAGGTGTCTGGCAGAGTGGCTTTAGACACCTTTCGAGTTGCCCAAATGACAGGTTATTCGAGTTGAGATGCTCCCTCCTGGTAACCTGATACTCAGACTATTTTTGAACACCAATCTACCCATCCTCTGGAAGACCAGGGGACCTGTGTTAACAAACAGCCCAGTTGAAAAGTTGGTGGGATGGAAGAAAGGTGCAGGATGAAGTGGGAGAGAATTTGCATGGGGCATTGAGAGAACTTCCTCCTGCTTCATCTTGGGCCTGTTCATCCCACCAAATTATCAACCAAGTTATATTTGGATATAGTTTTACCAGTTTTCCAGACAACCTGTAGACTAGTGTCCAAAAATATCTCAGTGGACAGGTCAGTGGGACAGAGGAGGCATGTGAGTTGAAGAGGAAGGGAGCTTGCAGGGCACATCAAAGGAGCTTCTTCCTAGTTCAACCATTGTCCATCCCACCGACCAATCAACCAGGCTACTTTTGGATACAGGTCGACTGATCTTCCTGTCACTCACGCTAGAAGAGGACAGGAGGATTTCAGCTGCCAAGTATCCAAAGCACTAAGTGTTGCAAGGTAACGGCAATGCTGGCAGCATTTGTCCACTGCTAGCAGCCCCCACATGTATCCCATGGAATACACAAAATAGCTTTGGAGATGCAAAAGGAGGCCTCCATTCCTCAAAGAAATGAAGGCAGTAGAAAGCATAGCTGTGTAAGACCCCTTATTAGCAGAAGCCGTGGAAAACCTGTAATGCACATATTTGGAACAGAACCGGCAATCCACAACTAGCAAAACCCAGCTCTCATTTCTAGTTTAAATTGACCTTGTAGACAGTGCTAGCCCTGTTTTTTTAAACAGAGATTTCTCACTTTTTCCAAAGACTGCTAAATGCATATTAAAAACGGAATCCAATGGTGTTCCAGAAGAATGCTAAAACTGTGTATATAAGAAGCTATGTAATGCCTGACTGGTGCTCTGCAAAACACTGGTCAGGCATCAGTAGGCAGATGCCTCTGTGGAAGCCAGGCGCCCAATCCCTCCTTCAGCCCCAGTCAAAATGTTCAGGGAAGGCAGTGGAAAGAGGACAGGGGCCCAAGGTTGTGTTCACAGCACCTGAGAGTGGCTAATAGGAACCAGGTAGATACAGCCCCTGAAACATCTCAAGGAGTCATCATAGAACGTTCACATAGGAAGACTTGGGTCAGAAGAAGAAAACCACTACTAATCAACTGGAATTGCTAAAGACAAACGCCTTCATAGTAGGCTGGGGATGAGATGAAGAAGCATTGTGAAAACATGTCCTCTAAAAATGGTTAGCAGAATATCTTCATGCCACAGTTAATCATAAGTATGGATGATCCCAAGGACTGGGAAGACCCAGGTTCATCTACTCTTGGCCATGGAAATTCAGCAGGTGACTCTGGCCATCACACTCTCTCAGCCCAACTTAAACTGCTTTGAGTTCTATAATAAGAACAACAAACCCTGTCTGAACTGAGAAGTAAGGTTAAATAATACAATTTATAAAGGAGTCTAAGTGGAAGAAGGAATGTGTAGATTTCTTAAATTCTTCCCCCAATCATGGATGGACAACTTGCAATCCACATGGGCTTCCCAAACCCTTTTTTGTAGCTCAAGATTACATTGCTTAAGATCAACAACAAAACACCAACTGTCAGAGGTGCAACTGAAAATAGGGTTTTAAAGTCTTCACTAAATATAATGCAGCCATTTTCAATTAGCATCCATCCAGATCCCTATAAAAATGGCATTGCAACATCACTGCCATGTCCCTAAAACCATAAAAAAAAAAAATTATGTGCAGCCCCATCTGAAAAAGATTCCCCCTTAACCCCTGCTTTGCAAAACCTGTCAGAACTCAGGGTCCCCTTTTCTCATTTGTCATCATTCATCAAATCTGTCCCCCGCTCTCCCAACTAATGTACAATAAAATCTTCCTTATACAGAATTCTCTCAGGCTGTGAGTGGTAAATTTCCAACAATCCAACAACTGCCATTATCGGTCCACATCTGCAGAGGTCAGAAAAATAGTTCAACAACTCAAACTTGACCCTGACCAAAGTTATTTGCTTTAATCACTGCCCTGAAGAAAAGCATATGGGCAGGAATAAAGAGATTAAATGAAGAACTGACAGCTTCTGTACTTGAAAAATATGGAAACTTTTGAAAAGCTGTGCTGAGAACCTGAGCACCTGTATTTGAGTGTCACTACCCAGGAAAGGCACGTGGACCTGCTGAGGGGCCCAGCTTCTTGGTTAACCCAATCTGTTCCAAGGATTACAACTCCAGGCTGGCTGGCTTCCACCAATAACCTTTTGTAGATTAAGAGCTATGGGAATCAAAACAGCTGTTGCCAGTCCTCCTTTCCATCCCATGAATCACAACGCAGGCCCAGAAGAGAAGCTGATGATATCAAGGGCAAGCCAAGATAATTCCTGTCCCTAGAGCAGTGTTCCTCAACCTAAGCAACTTGAAGATATGTGGACTTCAGCTCCCAGAATTCCCCAGCCAGCATTCAGTTCTGCTCCTCAATACATGCTTTCAAGCTTGGCCACCACTCCACTCTCAGATGCTCAATTAGGAAAAGTAAGGGAGGATTTCTCAATGGCATCCTCACCCCCCCCCCAATTCTTCTCTTTATCTCCCCTTATCTTAAAAAAAAGCTACAGGTTTTCAGAAAAGGAAAGGGGACATGGCCACCGTAATTTCAGTACTGCTGTGGCACCCAGTTCTTCCCACTCTGCAGTTGGTTTTTCATTGTAGCCCACTAGCAAGAGAAAATCCCATTTGTCCTGATTACTGTCTTTAACCATTTTTAGCAGGACAGCTGGTTTTAATCCAGTTTAGTGCTGCCTGTATGTGTGGCGGTCCAGTTTGCTAATACATGAATGTCATTAAGCCCATTATATAAAGCCATAGCTCCCCTCTTTCTTCCCCCTTCATTCTGCCTGCAGTTCTGCCTTGCTTAAACAGGTCAATGCATGTTGGGAAGCAGCAGAAAGAAGCTGGTAACAAACCCACAAACACATTAAGTCTTCACTGCTACTGCATCTCTGTATAAGGTAGCCTGGGAAACTGCCACAATCAGATGGCAGCTATGATGGCTTCATTCTCAGAGCAAAAAGAAAAGAAAAAGCAGATATAAAACGAGGAATCAACCATAAGATCAAGAAGATAAGAGAACAGAGGCTTTCTTGGCAAATTCCACTCTCCCAAATGATATAATGTGCATCCTGTAATAGACTGTAAAACTTATGGGAAGTTTTGGAATTTGGGAAAATGGGAAGACCAGGAAGATTCGGCAAATTATTTCCACTCCCTTTCTGTTGTGCATTGCTTCCTGTAGCACATCCGATCAGGTTGTGATGTTGATTGTGTCACTGATTATTAAAAATTCACTGGAAATCAACCTAAATCCCATCCTTGGGAGAGGGCAATGGATGATTGCAGAATGATTGCAAGTGGGCTGTTTCCACCTCTGGTGCAGACAATGAATGGCCATCATAGAGTGTACATGTCTAAGATAGGCAATCTAACAGTGATGTTAAGAAGGAAACATGCAGCTGGATAGCATCATAGTGTTTCTCAACCTTGGCAACTTTAAGATGTGTGGACTTCAACTCCCTGGCTGGCTGAGGAATTCTGGGAGTTGAAGTCCACACATCTTAAAGTTGCCAAGGTTGAGAAACACTGATCTATACAATCCTATTAAAAAATATGGGACATTTAAACTCACCCAAGGACTCCAGAGTTGAGTGCCATGCCCAAGCAGGACCCTTGGCCAGCAAAAGGGCGAGGATTTTATTGCACGTTTCTTCTTTTTCTTATTTAAATGTGCATGTACTCCTAAATCATGCTGGCTGGGGAATTCTGAGAGTTGAAGTCCACACATCTTAAAGTTGCCAAGTTTGAAAAACATTGATTTAAAAGAAGCCAAAAAAGGGGCCTAATTCTCAGGATACATCCGTATTCCCAGTGGGTTGATTCTGTCAGTGCAGATCGGCTTTCTCTCTAAGTTTTGGGAGGATTTTGTAAAATGAAGGACTCAGCTCCTGCTGGTTTTTATTTCTTGCTGGATTAGCACTGAACGAAGGAAGCATTTCCTCCCTACCTCATTCATACGTAGTCTTCCTGACCTTGAGCCAGCAGAAAAACACATGGCCACAATCTGCACTGCTCCCATAGCCAAGCTTTACTGTGCCTCAGCCACAAGGCTGAGGAGTGGTGCTGTCCTTACAGATTTAATGGAGGTCAGTTTCAGCCCAGTGATTAGTGGATTCTCTGGCTTCCTCCCCCTCCCTTCCAACATCACCAATTAGTTGGAAAAACAACTAGCAGTGGGCAGATCTTGGCAGGAGGAGTGCTCTTTCCAATTTCATTATGTGCCCATTCTATGTCCCACTGGCCAGTCAAATGGATTTGATTTGATTTTTGTTTTATTTTTGCCATACAACTATCAGACTCCTGGGAGAGAGCCACTTCGGTGTAGTGGTTAAGGCATCAGGCTAGAAACTAGGAGACCATGAGTTCTAGTCCCACCTTAGGCACAAACCATCTGTGTGACTTTGGGCCAGTCACGCTCTCAGCCCACGGTGTCAGACTTGGGCGACAAACAGGTTGGTCAATTCCTGTTGCAACCAACAGATCAACATTCAGTTGATCTGGAAAAAAAAAAGTGGA